TCTCCAGATGACCAAGATCAGTTCTCCTGGAGGCAATGGCTAGTTTGGGCAGTGGACTCTATGGCATTATACCTTGTTGAGGTCCATCTGCACCCCAAACCCTGCCCTCCCCAGGCTCTACCCCTCAGATCTACAGGTATTTCCCAACCCAGAGTTGACAACCGTGTAATCGACTATGGTACCACTTTCCAGACTCTTGGAATCCAGTAAACATGGCAAAGGAGGAGGTGCTTTTCTACCTTAGCTGCCAATGCATAGCCCCATTCCTGGAGGCACCTGAAGTTCTCCAGCTATTAAAACTGATGACCAAGATCAGTTCTCCTGGAGACAATGGCTGCTTTGAGCAGTGGACTCTTTGGCATTATACCCTGCTGAAGTCCCTCCACACCGAAACCCTGCCCTCCCCAGGCTCTACCCCTCAAATCTACAGGTATTTCCCAACCCAGAGTTGGCAACCAGGTTTCCAGACTCTTGAAACCCAGAAAACATGGCACAGGACGAGGTGCTTTTCTACCTTAGCTGCCAATGCATAACACCCCCCTCCTCCCCCCCAAAAAAATAAGTCAGAGGTGGAGGGAACCATACCTGTTACCATGAGGCTGTCCTCCCATACTACCCACTTGGGGAAGCAAAATGACTTGAGACAGCCCTGCCTTATAGCTAAGCAGAAGGAAAGAAACATGGCTTGCCTCCCTCTATTTTCTCCTTCCCTCTGCTACCCCATCATCCACAGCCGGGACACTCATCTGGAGCTTCCTTCTAGAGCTCGTTGTATTTCTTCCCACAATGGGCCTTACTCCAAGTTTATCATAACAATCTGTTGGTGACATTATAGGTGATGTGGGTGGACTGATTCTTGTATTTAATAACCACTAAGTTTTCAGTAAGGTGTTTCTAATAACATGACTTTTAGATTTCGTTTCTTTTTGAAGTGCTTTTCCAGTTTTTTTTACTCCGAAGATAGCTATGCAAGCCTCCCGCCAGTTCAGCAGTTTCCAATTTTATCAGTCTTTCATATGGGTTTCTAATCCAATCAGAAATTCATACCAAACCAGCTGCTTGGTAATATAGCTTGATATGAAGTACCAGTAGTCCTCCTCTTTTCTTCTCATCCTGTAATACTTTGAATCTGACTCTTGGTCTCTTGCCGTTCCATATAAATGCGTTTATCTGACTTTGCCAATTCTTTAGAGTTTTATCAGGAATCTCAATTGGAAGCATTTGAAATAAAAAACTTATTTTTGGCAAGACATCCATTTTTATTGTGGGTAAAAGCCAACTTTAATTTTGACCATCTTTCCAAGTCTTTAGTATTTTCTTCCATACTGCTTCATAGTTTTCTTGAAAAAGCATGTCATTTTTCCCTGACACATTTATCCCCAGGTATTTAATTGAACTGAATGCAATGTCACATCCAGTAATTGTTTTAATATTATCATCTTCCTGTTTTGTAAGAAATGTAGAGATTATTTTAGTTTTTCTCCTGTTAATTTTAAATCTCGAAAAAGAACCAAACTTTTCTATGTGTTCCATGAACATTGACTTTTGTGGATTAAATATTGTTGAAACAACAGTATCTGCATAGCTTTTTAAGAAATTCTTCTTCATCAACAATCAGTCTCATATAAAATTAAATTTATATATATATATATATGAGTCCTATTTAATCCTTTTTCTTCCTTTTTTGAGGGACTGTATTTGACAGTGGCTCTTGATCAGATTACTTGTACACAGAGAAGCAATTATTTGCCAGTACTCTGATCTTACTTGGTAAAAGCTGAGCCAATTTCAACAATTTTTATTGCATGGTTCATTTGACTTGTGAGGGTTTTTTGGGGGTGTGTGTGTGTTTGTTTTTTGACAATGGCCTTGTGTGGAATGCCTCATGGAGTGGGTGAAGGAAGGCAGCTATAACTGCAAATCCCATGCTTAAAGGGGCTTTCTTAAACAGTTGAATATACTTCCAATATTGTTGATATTGACTAAAATGTTTGTTTTAAGATGCACTGTAAACAAGCATAGTATACAGGTGAGCTTTAAAATGCTTACAGCTAGTTCTCACT